ATGGGACTCTCATTTTACTATAGAAAACTGGTTAAATATATAAAGAAAAAATTTGGACCAGCAAAATTAAGAGGGGTACTAGCCAATACATCAAATAGTTTCAAGGAATAACCATAGTAAATCTGGTTAGGATGTACCAATTCATTTTGCTTCACTACTTAAGAATGAGACCTCCAATAATGTCGTAAAAATTCCCGCCAGATGGATACCCTGCTTTTTAAAAATCACAGTATCAAAGCAGGGTGACCTAAGACTTAGAAGCACACTCACTATCATTCATACAAGTGTACTGATATCAGAATTTAAATGACTCTCCAAACCACAACATCCCAACCCATCTTTTTTTTTCTCAGTTATATATATGGTGCAAATTTAAAATCAATCTTAAAAGGCTTCCACTAGATATCTCTCAATGTAGCAGAAGCATCCAGGAAGCTACATATTCAGCAACCGACACGTATTACTCCTCTTATCTTTCATCATGTTTTCTTCATGTAGGTTCCGTTGTATTATTGAGTGGTATTTATTACACTTTTATATTACAGAATTTTATATACCAGAGAAATAATCATAGACACAAGCCTTACTCTTTACAAAGAATGACCTGACAGGACACAGTTGCCTTCCTTTCCTTAGAGAGGGTACAATTTGTATAAGAAACTTTTATGCTTTGAAGTAAAAACAAAAGTTGATGCTTTTTCATTTATAACATGCAGTGTGAAGCAAAGGCTAATTACCAATACGAGGATCTTCCAGTTATCAAAGGCTGTGAAACTCATGACACCACTGAATAAAGGCAGCTCATTCACTACTGACAGACATTTTCACAGGATAAAACAAAACAAAACAAACAAACAAAAAAAAGGGATACAGTAATGCATGAATGAGGTTTACAACAAAGGACATGCTGTTGCTATACAAACAAAACATGAAAGTGACCTTGTAGGATATCAAATAACTTTCAGAAAAAGAAAATGGTGTACTGAAGAAAATGTATTCAGAGAATACTGTTTAAAACATGTAAATGTGTGTATTTCTCCCCTCTTCCCAATTATTACATTCCAAAAATCTCTTGGGATAATTACAGAGGCATTTTTTTTCAAGTTTTTGTATTTCCTAAAAATATTTGTTTACTAAGTGTTTGGTTTTAATTTGTCATTTAAAAAATTTAAAGCAAAGCTAAAAGAAAAATCAATATTCTTAGATCAAACTTTGGTGAGACTTCAGGAACCAAGTAGAGGCAGGCCTCACTTATATAGCAGCTTAGGTTCCAGGCTACTGCTGAAATCGCTGTAAAGGGAAACAGCCTTTTCTTCACTTTCAAATGCATATAAAAGCCTAATAACACGTTTACAATATCAGATATTAACCCCTTCAGCGTCCAAGGCCAAAATCTGAAGTGGTGCCCCAGTATCCAAGAATTTTCCAAAAAAAAAAAGAAATTGTTATTTTTTCTTATGAAATGGTAGAGAATCTTTTTGTGAAAGTAATAAAACAAAAAGTACGAAATTTGATGGAAAACTGATGAAATTATGCTCACGTGAATTTTGATGTGTCAGCGATATTTACGAACTGGCGATTTTGCCGACTTTGACTCCCATTTTAGGCCAATTACATTATTCCAGTCGACCAAATTCTTAGCTAATTCACTAGTATTACTTCTATTCTATCAACTGAGCACAAGAAATCGCCAAGTCAACTGTTTCAACTACAAAATAAAGTGATCGGAAATTGGCAAATTGGCCAATTTAACACAAAGTTCAAAATATTCCAATTTCAAAATAGGATCCAGAATAAACAATGTAGGCATTCCTGGCACTAAACTAACATTTCCTCTGCTCATTAGTTACGTTTTGAGGCTTTACAAATAAATTCCATTTTGATTTTTTATTCACATACTGAACTTTTATTCAAACCAAAAAATAGAAGATTTACTGTTATGCAATATTGTAATAATTGTATAAATATCATCATCACATTTGTGAATGCATATTAGACCCACCAGCTGGCGTGTATTAGACGTGTAAGGTCGCTTGTTTACTCCTGAACATCGGCAAAAATTTAACATTTCTGCTACTTGGAGCTGAGTTTCAAGCCATTCCCAGTGCTAAAACCAATCAAAATCATCTCTATTTCTGTAATATGTCTTCCATTCTATCAAATGAGACCAAGAAATTGCAAATACAACTATAAAAAATATACGAAAAATCACTGCAAATTCGCTGTTTTAATCGAATATCATGGTCTCAGTTTTTTTTCTCATTATACACAGTGTGCTGCAGGATTTGTTTTATGTGGTGCACACATACCACATAGATATATTCTCTCATATCTAGGTCCAAATGTACCACTCACAGTTTATCAGAGTGAGCTGAGCTCATGGCGTAGATCTACGGTTTGGACCCTGAACGTAAGGCCGTAGATCTACGGGAAGGACCCTGAAAGGGTTAAGTGAGCAATAGATCTAGGTCTAAAAGATGCATATACAGTACACACATTATTTACCTCAAAATATTTTCACCCTTAGCTTATAGCGAGGGGTGAATGTATTTACTGTAGGAAGTCTGAATAAATGAAGGGCATAATTAATAATTTTGGCTTCATTAACTACAGAATAAGATCTCAATAACTGACTCAAAGTAATTACTGAAGGACTGCAACACAGTACCTTGTTTTGCAAAGGAGTGTGTTTTATGCTTCAAGCCAAATTGGAAAAATTTAAGACATTAAACAAAATAAAAAAACAAAATAGTACGAAAAAAAATTTTGCATGCTGTACATTAACATTACAAGATATTATCCAACTGGGCACCAATGAGACACTAAGGCAAAGATATATCCAAAATAAATTTAAACCTCTTTAAAGAGTTTTCAGAAGGTTGTACAGTATAAAAGGATTAAAAATTATAGAAAATTAGACTTAACCAAAAATTTTCTAGGACACCAACATTAAAAGTCTATGCAAAACACGTAGGCTTCAGAGACAGGTGTACTGTTGTTAGTCTGAGTTATTTTCTACTTGCTTGCTACTGCTGCATTCATTACATAAAGAATGAGTTCCTCCAAAATTAGTTCTAAAAACTGCCACCAGAGCACTTCATTCCTCTTTATTCATCTGTCAAATTAAATGTGAAGTTTAAATTGCTCTGAAAAGGTTTTCTCCAGATATTTTATGCAAACAAAGGCAGCACTTGAAAAAAAAAAGGGGGGGGGGGCAGGTGGTGTTCGAGTAGAGGTCGTGCAGATGACCAGGACAGTCGTACAACACTTAGACAGAAGGAATTTATAAACAAAAACCAGCATGGATTCAGATGACAAATGTTTTCTAATAAACCTGTTGGAATTCTATGACAAAGTAATGACAGAGAGAAAATGAAATTATCTGAAGGCTTATTTTTTTTTTAACAGTGGTCATCTACTGAGGTTGGCGAAAAAAAAAAAATTCACTGTCCTGCCGAAGTGTGATGACATCACATTTCAGATATCCCTCTGAACTACAACATCCTCACCCCTCCTTCAGAGTGCATGCATTCGGGGTTCCCTGAATCATTTCATTTGTTACCTTACATTACAACAGTACATCAAGCCAAAAACCACTTACACTTTTTTAACATGCTCCCACAAGCCTGTTGGATGTCCAAGACCCTAGCACTCGAAACCTCCTTCGACTTCTACCTACTTTTCCTGAATGACCCCCATCCTTCCCTCCACCCCAGATTGATAACTCCACACCTTCTAATCTCCAAGTTCTCAACTCTCTGCATAATATTCACATGACATATTTGCCTTTAAACATGACAGTTCCCCTGCCTCCAGCCCATTCTCGCTATAACAATTAAAACTTACACCCATATAACAGTGTTAGCATTATTATACTCTGGTACATTCTCACTTTTGCCTCCATGGATACAGTTGTCCCCACAGATGCCTCAATGCACCCACCTTTCTTCCACTCATCCACTCTATGGTTTACCTCGTCTTTCATAGACTTATTTGTCAAAAATTTTACTCCCAAATGTGTTCAGACATTTGGGAGCGGACTTTTCAGCAATTGGTCTATGGAAGATGAAGATATGGTAAGTGATATAAAAAAAATAAATAAATAAATAAAGCTTAACATTAATAAAGTGCCACATCTTACTTTTGATTTGAGATCACCTACATCTTGTGGTGTCACAGGAAAAGTTGTAATCGATTTGGGGTAGCTTTGCTATACATTATGGTTCCAGATGTTTCAGAACTGAACACCCATGGGAAATAAATATTTATCCTCATTAATAAAGTACTGCACCAACATAAGAATAATTTTATTAAGGCACACAAGTAAGGAATATTTGAGGTGCCATATCCAAAGCAGCATTTCCAAATTGTACAGCTATGAAATGACAGACCAAGAAGTTGCTTGTTCCCTTCCCATCCTCAGATTTGACCCAATCCTCTTATTCAAAATTATTACTTTTTTATTACTTATTCACTTTCTGCTGTAGAATGTATCAAAATGGGACTAAAATAGCATTCTTATTTTTTCCCTGTCTCCATGTGGATTTTCCTATGCTATATGTTCACATATTTAGGTAAATACCAATGTTCATATTTCATGTGTTTTTAGCAACCCAGGGTCTCATCCGTAAAGGCTCCTCCAATCTACCATAACACCAGATGGATAATGTGCCACTGGCACATCACACAAAATGCAATATTAAATATATATTTCAACTGATTTAACCCACTCAAGTGCATTCAGTCCCAGTTATTCTTATATCATCACATACCAGGCTATAAGGCAATGATATACATCACAAATAAATAGCACTGGCAAGATAATGATAATCAATCATCATCACTATCACTCAGAATGTTACACAACACAATCTTAAAGAGTCCCCAAACTCTTCTAATTTGAAGGAAATTCAAGCCATCTTACTATAAATAAACTTATGCAATACTTCTAGAAGTTGTACAAAACCATCCTGTGAGATACAGACCATAAATCACATTACCTGTACTACTTCCACCATGTGCATAGTCAACAACTGCAGGCTGATCAACTGGTGGTTTATGATCAAACAGTTCACGTCTGTGTGGGTCTTCTGGCCCTCGGCCATAGTGGTCTCTCCTGTCTCTCTCGTGACGATCACGATCGTGCTCACGAGTGTCCATGGCATAGTCACTCTCTCTCCTGTCATATGGTCTGGAGCCATAATTATCTTGATAATAGGGATCTCTATCAAATGTTTCCCTTCCATAGCCACTATCAAAGCGATCCCTCGATCCCCTTCCATACGCATCATCATAATAACTATCATTCCATCTATACGAACTGCCCCTCTCTCTCTCTTCATAATAATCCCAACGTTGTCGGATATAGGCATCATCATCAAATCGATCGTCACCTAAACGATCATCCATGCGTCGTCCCGAGTAGCGTGGATCATCTCTGCGATCATCCCAGTAATCACCTCTGCGGTTATCTGGGAATCTTGAATCGGTGCCAAATCTTTCATGTCTGCGCTTTTCTTCGTATCTGATCAGAAAGAAAAAAAATTAAATAGCAACATGCGAAATGCATGTAATGAATTTGCGTCACAGGTTTATAGCCTTTATAACTTCCTCTATCAATTCTTCTTTTTCTAATGTGGAAGAAAGTCACAAAAAATGTAATAAAAACATAACGATAACGACAAATTGAGAACAAAAATTCACTCACCTTAACATTTCTTCCGAAAAACATTCAGAGAAGCCATATGTTGAAGATGAGTCTCTCCTGTTTCCATCCCAGTTGTCCCTATCCTGTGAGTGTAGCTGTGAGGATCACACAATTATGCATTAATTTATAAAATCCATGATCACTCACTCACTCTACTGCGCGCACATACGCACACACATGTACGCACGTGCCCACTCACTAGCTCGCTCGCTCACTCACACACATACACACACACACTCTCACACACTCACCCTCACGCACTCACTCTCACACCCTCACGCACTCACCTCTCACACACTCGCCCTCACTCACTCACCCTCATCACTCACCCTCACGCACTCACTCTCACTCACGCACTCACTCTCATGCACTCACACACTCAACTTCACACACTCACACTCTACACACTCACACACTCACACTCTCACACACTCACACTCACACACTCACACTCACACATCCACTCTCACACACTCACACTCTCACACACTCACACACTCACACACCTCCACATCACACACTCACACTCTCACCACTCTCACACACTCTCACACACTCACTCCACACACTCACTCTCACACACTCACTCTCACACACTCACTCTCACACACTCACCTCACCACTCACTCCACACACTCATCTCACACACTCACTCTCACACACTCACTCTCACACACTCACTCTCACACACTCACTCTCACCACCACTCACTCACCCATCACTCTCACACACTCACTCTCCACACCACTCTCACACACTCACCTCCACTCTCACACACTCACTCACATCACTCTCACATCTCACACACACACTCTCTCTCCACACACACTCACTCTCACACACACACTCTCTCACACACACTCACACACACACTCACACACACACACACACACACACACGGTCAGTAGCTGAGACTTGACCCCTGCAACCACATATAGGCGAGGATGTGCACATATGAACACAGACACACTGTGAATACTTTCGTTCATATAAAATATTAAATTACTGAGGCATCAAGTTATTTATCCTTACAAGTCACTTAAGAGATATAACTTGACAATGAACAGCTCTTGATCCAAGGAACTGGAGCTCCCTCTCATCTTCCTTGAATCTAACCTCATTGCCTCCCATTCACCAGGCACTAGATGACCAACATGGATTTGGTGCTTCCCCATAATAATAATAATAATAATAATAATAATAATAATAATAATAATAATAATGTTTTGTGTATTTGTGAACAGGTCTAGTGTCAGAAATTGTATACACAAGTAAGAAACTTAGATAAATACAAAAGATGAGCTGGGACTCTGATGCCATTATAAAAATGGCAGAAGCACATGTTGGCAAGTGTTGTACCGTAGACAGATAAGTGCCACACAAGGCACCTGGGGGTACTTCGCACCTTATGATAACAACGTGTAACACAGTGGCAAAAAACTAAACATGGACACTTGGGTAAAATCATTTTGGTAACAATGAAGTGTTGCACTTTCTTACTGATGACATGAAGGCTATCAAGTGGCATGACATGATGGCAATCAGGTACCATGATAACGAGATTAATAAGAATTCTCACAGCCACAAAGGAACCCAATAACAGTACAAGAGACAGGTTAAACTGAACGACAAAAACTATCATTAAAAAACTAATTATGTATTTCACTGCATCGTAAGCATCCACTTGGTGGTATACAGCTGATAATAAACGGTTGTATGGCTGATAATCAATGGCTGTACGGCTGATAATCAATGGCTGTACGGCTAATAATCAATGGTTGTATGGCTGATAATCAATGGTTGTACGGCTGATAATCAACGGCTGTATGGCTGACAATCAACGGCTGTACGGCTGATAATCAACGGTTGTATGGCCGATAATCAATGGTTGTATGGCTGATAATCAACGGTTGTATGGCTGATAATCAACGGTTGTATGGCTGATAATCAACGGTTGTATGGCTGATAATCAACGGTTAATGGCTAATAATCAACGGTTAATGGCTAATAATCAACGGTTAATGGCTAATAATCAAAGGTTGTATGGCTGATAATCAACGGTTAATGGCTAATAATCAAAGGTTGTATGGCTGATAATCAACGGTTAATGGCTAATAATCAATGGTTGTATGGCTGATAATCAACGGTTAATAGCTAATAATCAAAGGTTGTATGGCTGATAATCAAGTGACACTTGATTATTCCAACCATGTAAAATTAGTAAGTTTTGCAATAAAATTAATTTTTACAGTTTTGCCTATTAATATATTGTTATTTTATATCTTCCATACCTATGGCAATTAGACATCTTTATGTTTTTATTGTTGTACATCAACAGATTGCATAGAATGAATTCTGCTCTTAGAAAACTGCCTTCAATAAGTGCTAATTGGTGCAATTTCAATCCAATAAAAATGAAACCTCTCAAAATGTTTTTTTTTTTCATAACATTATGCAGAATCTGATGGGGAATAAATAGCAATGCTCTTACTACTTCCTTCTGTTCACCTTTTCTACCTCATTCTGTCAATAGCCATCCCTGCTGCAGGATCCATATCATGCATATGATTAAGTGTAGAATAGCCATCCCTGCTGCAGGATCCATATCATGCATATGACTAAGTGTAGAATACCAAATGGCAACCATAAATGATCTCTTACTAATCATGCAAACCGAGGTCATTATAACTCTCCCCCCCCCTAGGTGTATCCTCTTCATCATAGCACTTCATACGAGTGAAATTTTGTAATGCAGGTCTTCAGAGCGCAAGGGCTGACTTTATGTACATCTTGAGGCACCCCTAAGTTAACTTGTGAAAAGACGGACAAGCCAGTCAGTGGAAAGTCTTCAGTGAAATGATAAACCTTCACTGGGTGGATCATCTGTTCGAGACAAGGGGAAAAATAGTCTGTTGACTTAAAACAGCCCTCCAATCTTCCTCAAGGTACGGCACATCATTTATTTACCTCATATATATACACTGGTGCCACTCTTAACCATATACATAGATACAACTCAAGCATATACACTGGTACCACTCAAGCATATACACTGGTACCCTACTCTTTACCATGTAAACTGGTACCACTCACACAACCATGTACACCAGTACAACTCTCACAGCCATGTATGCTGGTACCACACACTAGAATGTATGCTGGTACCACTCACACAACAATGTATGCTGGTACCACTCACACTGCAATGTATGCTGGCACCACTCACACTACCATGTACACTGGTACCACTGTCACTAGCATGTACACTGGTACCACTGTCATTAGCATGTACACCAGTACCACTCTCACTAGCATGTACACCAGTACCACTGTCACTAGCATGTACACTGGTACCACTGTCAGTAGCATGTACACTGGTACCACTCACACTACCATGTACACTGGTACCACTCTCACTACCATGAACACTGGTACCACTATCACTACCATGAACACTGGTACCACTATCACTACCATGAACACTGGTACCACTATCACTACCATGAACACTGGTACCACTATCACTACCATGAACACTGGTACCACTCTCACTACCATGTACACTGGTAACACTCTCACTACCATGTACACTGGTACCACTCTCACTACCATGTACACTGGTACCACTCTCACTAGCATGTACACTGGCACCACTCTCACTAGCATGTACACCGTAACACTCTCACACCATGTAACTGGTACCACTACACTACCATGTAACTGTACCACTCATTGCAACTATGTACACCAGTCAACTCTCACAACCATGTAAATGCATGTACCACTACCACACACAGTATGCCTGTACCACTCACATTGCAATGTATGGTGACACCACTCATACTACCATGTACACTGGTACCACACACTAGCATGTACACTGGTACCACTCACACTACCATGTACACTGGTATCACTAGCATGTACACTGGTACCACTCTCACTACCATGTACACTGGTACCACTCTCACTACCACGTACACTGGTACCACTCTCACTACCACGTACACTGGTACCGCTCTCACTACCACGTACACTGGTACCACTCTCACTACCACGTACACTGGTACCACTCTCACTACCACATACACTGGTACCACTCTCACTACCACATACACGGGTATCACTCACTACCACGTACACGGGTGCCACTCTCACTAGCATGTACACAGGTACCACTCACTAGCATGTACACCAGTACTACTCTCACTAGCATGTACACTGGTACCCCACACACTAGCATGTACACTGGTACCACTCACACTAGCATGTACACTGGTACCACTCACACTAGCATGTACACTGGTACCACTCACACTAGCATGTACACTGGTACCACTCACACTAGCATGTACACTGGTACCACTCACACTAACATGTACACTGGTACCACTCTCACTACCACATACACTGGTACCACTCTCACTACCTTGTACACTGGTACCACTCTCACTACCATGTACACTGGTACCACTCTCACTCTGACACTTAACTCCACGTACACACTGGTACCACTCGCACTACCATGTACACTGGTACCACTCACACTACCATGTACACTGGTACCATTCTCACTAGCATGTACACAGGTACCACTCACTAGCATGTACACCAGTACTACTCTCACTAGCATGTACACTGGTACCACTCTCACTAGCATGTACACTGGTAACACACTCACTAGTATGTACACTGGTACCACACTCACTAGCATGTACACCGGTACCACTATGTACACCGGTGCCACTTACACTAGCATGTACACTGGTACCACTCACACTACCATGTACACCATTACCACTCTCACTACCATGTACACAGGTACCATTCTCACTAGCATGCACACAGGTACCACTCACTAGCATGTACACCAGTACTACTCTCACTAGCATGTACACTGGTACCACTCTCACTAGCATGTACACAGGTCACTCTCACTAGCATATACACCAGTACCACTCACACTACCATGTACACCAGTACCACTCACACTACCATGTACACAGGTACCATTCTCACTAGCATGTACACAGGTACCACTCACACTAGCATGTACACTGGTACCACTCACACTACCATGTACACTGGTACCACT